TAATAATAATAATAATAATAATAACAAGAATGTTTTAATACACTAACAAGTATTTATAAACTAAAATTATTTGAAGGTTTACATAAACATACTTTATATGGAATTCATATAAGGGACATGCATGAGTAACTGGCTACCAAGGTAGAATCAGACTGCCACTTTTCAGGCTCCTAGCTCTTTTTCTGATACATTTGATCATACTACCTAGTCTACATTCTTCATGACTGCATGATAGACCTAGATTCCTAAGAGAGAAAGTTGAAGAGATTTCCACAGGCACTGCTAGAGAAGCAGAATGGCCCTTCACCTCACTGCCAGTGGTGAGCCTGGAAGTACACCCTACAGTCGGCAAAACACTTCAGTGAGCTTGGTGACAAAACAGCAGGCTCCCTTCAGTTCTATGCCTTCCAACTCAGCAACCTTGAAGGGTTTTTGTAAATTATTAACCTCTACTAAAACCTCCAGGGATCTGCGTGCTGACGTCTGAAGATGTACTACATCCTTTCATGGATGTGAAAAGAGGGTCATGCCATCCAGGATGGACTTCTGGGCCTTCAATCTTGGAAGCTGAATGCTGTTTTTTTCCTTTTAACTAACCTTGATGTTTTTAATTCAGCAAGCCAATGCTTCTAAATCCCTGTCTTGAAAAAGTCTTCCAAGTGTAAATCTTCTCTAAGCAGTTTTGTAAAATTTTCTTTCAAATTAATCACATTACTATTACCATTCAACAATTGGCCGCATAAGAGCCACAATATGAAATAAAGCACTTGGTTCAATAAAATACAACTAAGTAAAAATAGAATGAAATTAAAAATATTAAGCAAACTTATATGAAAGAAGTATTTTGAGAACAACTATAACCTGAAACCAAAATTATAATCCCAGAATGTACTTTTTAGATTTTTTTCTAAAACATACCTGAATTTCTGCAGAAATGGCTTTAATCCACTCATCTACTGTCTTTCTGATCCTAATTTTCTCTGACATCTCTCTACAAAAGAGAAAAAGAAATTTTCTGTTTTGTTTGTGAAACAGTGTCTCCCTGTGTAGCCCAGGCTGGCCTTGAACTCATGGCAACTCTCCTGCTGTAGCCTCCAAAGTGCTGGGATTATGGGCATGTGCCACCATGCCCAGCATTTTTTAAAAATTTTCTAGCAGGAATTTTCTTCAATTCCCACTTAATGTCCTGAGACTAGAACCTGGATCAGATATCATTCTCACCTAGTTTTAGATCTACTATATAG